AGAGTGAAGTGGATTCTATTCTACAGAATCACACTTAGGAACTTGTTGATCTTCCTCCAAGTAGTAAACCCTTAGGATCCAAGTGGGTCTTTAAAAGGAAGATGAAACCTGATGGTTCCATTGAGAAATATAAGGCTAGGCTTGTAATCAAGGGTTACAGGCAACACGAGGGCCTTGATTACTTCGACACATATTCTCCCGCGACGAGAATAAACTCCATTAGGATGATACTTGCCATAGCCGCGTTGCGGAATTTGGAAGTTCACCAAATGGATGTGAAAACCGCTTTCCTAGGTTTGTAGTTCCGGGCCAAGAAAGGAAAGTGCGTAAGTTGGTTAAATCGTTTTATGGTTGAAACAAGCACCTAAGCAGTGGCACGAGAAGTTTGACCATGCAATGTTAACTAACAGGTTTAAAATAAAAGAAAGTGACAAATGTGTCTACGTTAAGGAAACGATAGACGGCTATGTCATTCTTTGTTTATACGTAGATGATATGCTCATCGTTGGTAGTAACGATCAGATGATCAAGTCTATCAAAAACATGTTAAATGCGAGATTTGACATGAAGGATATGAGTTTGGCTGATTTAATCCTTGAGATTAGAATCATTAGAAGACCTGATGGTCTCGTGTTGAGCCAATCACATTATATTGACAAAATCCTTGGGAAGTTTAACAAGGATGATGATCAATTGGCTAGAACACCGTTTGATACAAACGTTCATCTAACCAAGAACTATAGGGAAGGTATTTTACAAGTGGAATATGCTCGGGTTATTGGTAGTTTGATGTATCTTATGAGCTGTACTAGGCCGGATATTACCTTTGCGGTTAGTAAACTTAGTAGATATACGAGTAACCCCAGTGCTATGCACTGTAAGGCAATAGTAAAGGTTATGAGATACTTGAGGTATACTCGTGACCTTGGACTGCACTTCGGGAGATATCCCGCTGTACTTGAAGGGTATAGCGACACGATCTAGATATCTGATATTAAGGACTCTAAGTCCACGAGTTGCTACGTGTTTACACTAGCCGGTGCAGCCATTGCATGGAAATCTTCTAAGCAAACTGTGATAGCTAGATCCACGATGGAATCCGAGCTGATAGCCTTGGACAAAGGTTGTGAAGAGGCTGAATGGCTACGCCATTTTCTAGAGGATATTCCGAATTGGGAAAGACCTGTACCTCCAATATGTGTGCATTGCGATAGCCAAGCCACAATTGGGAGAGTACAAAGTCATATATATAATGGTTAGTCTAGACATATGCGTCGTAGACATAATACCATTAGACAACTTCTCACAACTGGTGTTGTCTCGATTGACTACGTAAAGTCAAAAGAAAATATAGCGGATCCGCTGACCAAAGGGTTAGGTAAAGAAGTTGTGGAGAAGTTGACACGAGGAATGGGTCTAAAGCCCTTGGACTAAAAAGTTCTATAGTGGATACCCAACCTAGCTGTCACCTAGGTTCAATGGGACAACTAAATTATGGAACGGAGCGTGTCACTATGGGGGTCTCGGACTCCCTACCACTCCTCGTTGAAACAGTGACTCCCGCAAGAGGCTAGCACGTTGATGCTTTAATGATTCGAATGTCGGTTGACATGAGTGAGTATGCGGGATACTCGAGAAATAATCACCTATGTAAGAGAGAAGTGGAGGTCGCTTCAAAGGAGAATTGCTAGGCACAATTCTTTAGAAACTTTTGTAGAACCAGGAACGGTGACACACGACCAAAATGGGCACACTCATGAGAACAGAGCACCGTTGGGAGGTTCCTGTGTGAGATATGTCATCGTCTACACAAACGGCAGTCGGTTCAAAGACATCGCGTTCTACCGTACATCCAGTAGAGTAAACATATCTTCACAAGGGAAGGTTCAAAGGGTACGGTACCCCCTACCTATCCTATGCAGGGATCGACCGTTGAACACATTTGTTTCCGATTTCAAAATACCCTGAAAATCAATTTTTCATTCATGTGGGGGATTGTTGGAAAAAATAGCTTAAAATGACATATTAAGTGGCTATTTTGTGGTACAATTATCAGTGGGGTCCACTTTCAATTTGGGTCGGGTCAAAGTGGATTCGGGTTCTTCGTAGTGAGACGAAGAGATTGAAGTATTGTACGCTCAAAATGGATAATGGGTGAATGAGATATTGATTCTCAAAGTAGACCCATTAAGTTGGAAAAATGAAGGGAAAAAGTGAAGCTTTTGTCCCATATTGGTTAGGGAAGAGGATTTGCACCACTATTTATACAAGAGCTCTTTTAAAGCTTATTGAATTGTATAGCATAGAGGCTCTCTTTTGCGTGTAGGGGGGAGGGTGCAAATCGAATCCTAAAATGAGATTGAAAAGGCTTGATTTAAGCCTGAGCTCGTGTGTGCCGGCACCAGCCTTTAAGTGTCTCCTATTTTATAACAAGCACAAGAAGAAATCATATTGTTTTCAAGCCTCAAAACTCTCTGCTTCTACTCTTTTCTTAGCCAAATTGGCACAAGAAGAAATCATATTGTTTTCAAGCCTCAAAACTCTCTGTTTCTACTCTTTTATTAGCCAAATTGTGTTCAAAATTTGCTCTAGTTCGCCGGATTCCTTGTTTGGGTGTTTTCAAGCCTCAAAACTCTCTGTTTCTACTCTTTTATTAGCCAAATTGTGTTCAAAATTTGCTCTAGTTCGCCGGATTCCTTGTTTGGGTGCTCAAACATTGGATCGTAGCATATTTTATCCAGGGAAACCTAGGCTACAAAGCTCCTAGCACTTGTGGGAGGTAGCAAATAAGGTTTTAAGGAAAGAGTAATCGCTTGACTCATGCTAAAAAGCCTACACCAAATACGAGTCTATCTCTTCATCCTTTCCTTCCTTCTTTTTCTACAGAAAATAGTAATCCTTATTTTGTAGGATTATTATTCGGTTTTACCAACGGTTACCCAACATGTGTTACTCTTTGAGTACTCCCTCGTAAAGATATATTCACTACTACAGAAAACGGATTTAACGTCTACATTATAACGTCGGTTTTTTGAAAATCCGACGTTAAATATTTAAAATTATTTTTTATTTTTTTAAAAAATACATATGACGTCGGTTATTTGGTATTGCCGATGCCGTATATTAAATAAAAAATAAATAAAAATAAATACGAGATACGACGTCGGCGTTATACGTCGCCGACGTCGTATCTCAAATAAAAAAAAATATATATATATGGTATACGGCGTCGGCGACGTATATCGCCGACGCCGTATACTCGAATTTAAAAAAAAAAATAAATAGTAGAGACGGCGTCAGAGAATTAATCTCCGACGCCGTATCTCTAATAATTAAAAAAAATAAAATAAAAATGGTATACGGTGTCGGCGACGTATAACGCCGATGCCGTATACTCAAATTAAAAAAAAAAGAAATAATAAATAGGAGATACGGCGTCGGAGTTAAATCTCCGACGCCGTATCGAATAATTTAAAAAAAAATTAAAATGGTATACGGCGTCGGCGACGTATATCGCCGACGCCGTATACTCGATTTTTTTTTAAAAAAATAAAAAATAAATAGAGATACGGCGTCGGAGAATTAATCTCCGATGCCGTATCTCCAATAATTAAAAAAAAAAAATATTAAAATGGTATACGGCGTCGGCGACGTATAACGCCGACGCCGTATACTTAAATTAAAAAAAAATAATAATGAAGCTAGCTAGAACTTTTCAGATCGGCGCCTAAACATTTCACACTCATCTGCTCCAAACATTTCACTCCTCACTCATCTGCTCCAAACGCCCTACGCCACCGATGCTCTCCACCGCCGCCTAAGCCGTCGTCCAATGCCTCGGTCGCCGCACGTCGACTTCGTCCTCGGCCTCGCTCGCCGCACGTCAACGTCGTCCTCGGCCTCGCTCGCAACAGTGCCGTCGTCTTCGGCCTCGGCCTCGCTCGCCGTCGTCCTCGCCGTCGCCCAACGTCGTCGCCGCTCGCCGCCTCTCCTGCAAGGTACGTATGTATATATATATATATATATATATATATATATATATATATATATATATATATTATAAATTAAAAATGGTTATGTATATATATTTTTTGAATTTTGAATTTTATATATTATTATTGTGTATATTTTCGAAATTTTAGGAATAATTGTGTATATATATTTAATTTTATAAGTTAGTGGGTCAATTATGAATTGTTGTGTGTATATGTGAAATTTTATGAAATTTTGTTTATATATTATTGTGTATATCTTGAAATTTTAGGAATAATTGTGTATGAACATTAACGAATAAGGTTTAGTTTATAGATATATAGAACAAATATTATGAATATAATACATAATTTAAGTGAACAAATCTTAGCTTGCTAGGTGAATCTTGGTCCATAATTTGCCTTTTTCAAGTATATAACTTACCAAATAATTTAAGTAAACAAGCTAAGTGTATAATACATGATGATGTTATTGAATATATTGCACTAGTTGATACTTAATATAAAATGATGTTGTTTTGGACCAAGGCCCACCATGCTAGGTGAATCTTGGTCCATAATTTGCCTTTTCAAGTATATAACTTACCAAATAATTTAAGTGAACAAGCTAAGTGTATAATACATGATGATGTTATTGAATATATTGCACTAGTTGATACTTAATATAAAATGATGTTGTTTTGGACCAAGGCCCACCATGCTAGGTGAATCTTGGTCCATAATTTGCCTTTTTCAAGTATATAACTTACCAAATAATTTAACTTAAAATGTTGTGAGAAAAATGTAATACTAATTGGCCGAAATGAATATAGTGTAGTTGTTGTAGTGGTTATAATTATATAAATTTGTTAAAATGTTGTTAACAAATGTTTAACTAGGTTATTATTATTTTAGATTGTCTTGTGATGGATAAAAGTTGGATGAAAGCTAATCGACTTAGTCAGGAATATGAAGATGGAGTTAGAAATTTTTTACAGTTTGCAAATAATAACCTTCCGAATAGTAATAAGAGGTTCTTCTGTCCTTGTACGAAATGTTGTAATCAGAAAAGGTTAGGTGAAGAAGACATATATGATGATCTAATTGTTAATGGGATTAATCCATATTATACACAATGGATTTGGCACGGTGAAAGCGATGTGGCTACAACATCTAACATGTATGTTGACAATGAAGATGATGAGTCTGAAGATCGGTTGGATGAAATGTTTCGCGATGTTGGAGAAGAGTTTACCAATCGGTCAAATGAGTTGGATGAATTATTGAATGATTCAAAACAACCTTTATGGCCAGGGTGTAGTAAATATACCAGATTATCTGCTGTATTAAAATTATTCAACTTGAAAGCTGGGAATGGGTGGAGCGACAAGAGCTTTACTGCTTTACTTAAAATAGTCAATGATATGCTTCCAGATGGTAATGAACTTCCCAAGAGTACATATGATGCCAAAAAGATGTTGTGTCCCATGGGTATGGGATACAAAAAAATACATGCTTGCCCTAACGATTGCATATTGTTTAGGAATGATTACAAAGACTTGCATGCATGTCCAATATGCGGGGCATCTCGTTATAAAACAAGAGAGAGTGGTAAAGTACGTTTAAAAAGTCCACCAGCTAAAGTTTTGTGGTATCTCCCAATTCTTCCAAGATTTAAGCGCATGTTTGCAAATCCAAGCGATGCGAAGAACTTATCATGGCATGCAGATGAAAGAATTTCCGATGCAAGCTTCGACACCCGGCTGATTCTTCTCAATGGATAACATTTGATAATGCATTTCCTGAATTTGGCCACGAGTCGAGAAATCTTAGACTTGGACTTTGTACTGATGGTATTAACCCTCACGGGAACCTAAGTAGCAAGCATAGCTCGTGGCCAGTTATGTTGATAATTTATAATCTACCCCCGTGGTTGTGTATGAAACGCAAATACATATTATTAAGCTTGATGATTTCTGGGCCAAAACAACCAGGTAATGATATAGATGTTTTTTTGGCGCCTTTAATTGATGACTTGAAGCAATTATGGGATGAAGGTGCGTTAGTGTTTGACGCATACCGGAAGGAGACTTTTAAGTTGCATGCAATGCTTTTTTGCACAATCAATGACTTTCCAGCTTATGGTAACTTGTCTGGATATAGTGTCAAAGGTCATAAGGCATGCCCCATATGTGAAGATAATACCTGTTATCATCAACTGGTTCATGGTAGAAAGACTGTAAAAAAGGCATTCAATGGCGTTCAAGACTATACAGATGCTCCACAACCATTAACAGGGAATCAAGTTTATGAACGAGTTGAATGCATCAATGTTACTTTTGGTAAGACTCAAAAGCTTCAATCTCAAAGAGGTAAGAGGTCAAAAGAGATACCTACAAATGAGAAGAGTCCGTGGAAAAAGAAATCTATATTTTTTGATCTTCCATATTGGAAGACACTAGATGTGAGACATAGTATTGATGTGATGCATGTGGAGAAAAATGTATGTGATAGTCTTGTTGGAACTCTTTTAGACATTAAAGGTAAGACTAAAGATGGACTCAATGCTAGATTGGATTTGGTTGAAATGTGTATACGACCTACATTAGCTCCACGTTGCGGGGATAAGAGAACATATTTGCCTCCAGCTGCTCATACTTTATCAAGAAAGGAGAAAATAAGTTTTTGTGAGTGTTTACGTGGAGTAAAGGTACCACAATGGTATTCATCAAATATCAGTAAACTTGTTAATATGCAAGATTTAAAGTTGGTGGGGTTGAAGTCTCATGATTGTCATGTCTTAATGCAACAACTATTGCCAGTGGCTGTTAGAGGCATATTACCTAAAAAGTTGAGATATACCATCATAAGACTTTGTTTCTTTTTCAATGCAATATGTGGGAAAGTTGTTGATCCAGACAAATTAGATGAATTGCAAAATGACATTATTGTTACACTGTGTCAGCTAGAGATGCACTTTGCACCTTCATTTTTTGATATCATGGTTCATTTGCTTGTGCATTTGGTGAGAGAGATCAAACATTGTGGTCCAGCTTATTTGAGGTGGATGTACCCATTTGAACGGTACATGAAAGTATTAAAAGGTTATGTTAGGAACCGATATAGGCCGGAAGCATCTATAGTTGAAAGCTATGTTGCAGAGGAGGTTACTGAGTTTTGTACAGAATATTTGGCAGGGGTAGAGGCTATTGGTGTTTCTACTAATCGACATGAAGGAAGAATTGCTGGGAAGGGTACTCGAGGAGTCAAAGTGAAGACTATGCCTCGTGAAGATGTTGAGGAGGCACACTTGTACATCTTGCATAATACAAGTGAAGTCGAGCCGTATTTAGATGAACACAAGGCATTGATTAGAGAGCAAAATCCAAGAAAGACAGACATGTGGATTGTGGGCGAACATAATCGAACTTTTATTCGTTGGTTCAAAAATAAAGTTATTGAAGAGAATAATATGTCTGAAACTGTTTCATGGTTAGCACATGGTCCTGGTTTGGATGTCCTATGCTATAATGGATATGACATTAATGGGTTTTCTTTTTATACAAAAGCTCAAGATGAAAAGAGCACTATGCAAAACAGTGGAGTTACTTTGGTTGCAAATTCCATGCATTTCAGTAGTTCGAAAGATACAAATCCTGTGTTCGCAGAGTTGTCATATTATGGTGTGATTGAAGAAATATGGGAAGTTGATTATGTTTTGTTTAGGGTGCCGGTGTTTCGATGTAGATGGGTAGATAATAAACATGGTGTAAAAGTTGATGAGTTGGGATTTACACTTGTTGATTTTAATCGTGAAGGGCACAAAAATGAGCAGTTCATAATGGCATCCCAAGCAAAACAAGTCTTTTATATTAGTGATCCTTGTGACAAAAAATGGTCAATTGTTCTTCATGGAAAGAGACAAATTACTAGAGATGAGAATGAAGATGTTAGTTTTGATATTGAGGAAATACCACCATTTTCTTCAAGTTTATTGCCCACTATTATTGATAATGAGATAGATGAAGTACATGCATCACGAGATGATCATCATGAAGGGATATGGGAGAATTGATTATTACATGCAATGCCCGCTATTTATTTTGTTTTTTAGTTTTCTTATTGTAGTACTTTTATATATTCTAATAATTTTTGTTTCTAAACAGGCGTATGGATTCAGCAAATGGTGATGGTACTACACAGGATGGTACTACACAAGATACTCATACTACTCAAAGTAGTAATACTACTTCTAAGACGAGGGGCGCCACTCGTATGCAAAAACTCATTCTGCAGCGTTCTACTGAAGGGAAACACCACATTGAGCTTGATGGATTGGAGTCTGTCTACGGGCCAGAAGGCAGTGCATTTAAAAGTTATGTTGCATTAGTGGGACGAATACATACTCCTATCACAATAGATGAATGGCCGAATGTCCCAGAAAATATTAAGAGTACTATTTGGAAACAAATCCTGGTAACTTTTAATTTTGTAAGATTTTGATTTATTCATAAAGTTTCTATAATTACATTTCTAACTAATAAATAATTTTGTTTTGCAGAATACTTATGATATTCCCGACACAACTGATATGAGGAAAGAATGGTTAAAATATGTGGGTGATCGGTGGAAAGATTTTAAAGCGAAATTGGTGAGCAAGTATATATACGGTAGTTTTGCAGGTATGAGCCCATGTATAAAATACAACTTCATTGAACAAGAGACATGGGATGAGTTTGTAAAGTCGCATACAGGTTCAGTATATGAGGTATCGCTATTATTCTATCAATATTTCCAACATAAACTCTATCATTATTATGAGGGACATGTAAAGAGTTTGATTAATATTTTGTATTTATATAGGCAAAAAGAGAAAAATATCAAGACATACAAGCTAAAAATATTCATCCACATCTTTTAGCTCGAGGAGGTTATAAAAAGTTGGAGAAGATGATGATGGATGAGAAGTTGAAAGAAAAACAAGCGTTGGCTGATGCAGATCCGACGTATACAATGAGTCCTCCAAGTCCTCCACGTAGAGCCGAAAAGTGGAAGAAAGCAAGAATTGACAAGTCAGGAAATTATCGCACTGAATCAACAAGATTGGTGGCGGAAAAAATTGTAAGTAAATATGTTGTCATTTACTAAACTAATAGTAATTATTATTGAATAATTTTTATATATGTTAGGATGATCTTGAGATCCAAATTTCTCAAGGAGAATTTGTTGAGAAAGGAAGACAAGATTCATTGACTGTTGCATTGGGTACTGATGAGCATTCTGGAACGTGTTAGAGCCATGGGAAGAGGACATGGCTTCAAAAGTGTATTTGGCCATGCAAAACGTCGCGAAAAGCCTCCTGAAGATGTTCAACAAATGGTTGATGATGCTGTTGCAGTAGCGTTAGAGAAACAAAAGCAGCAAAATATTTCTGAACGGGAGGAATTTGGTCAACGATTAACTGAGCAATTTGAGGCAAAAATAGCTAGTGTGATGTTGAAATTTAGTTCTATGCAGACTCCTTTACAAGCAAAGCAGGTGGATGGCGTATGTGTGGATGTTGTGTCACTACCTCCAACTGACAAAGCTAGTTCCCCAGACCCTTTTAGTAATTTACCGGCTGTAAGTATTCGTTTAAAGTTATATTATTAATATTTATCAATAAAATTTTATATGATTTTTAATTAAAAATTATTGTAGTTAGGGGCACGATGTCAACTGTTCTTAGAAGATCCAATTAGACGTCCAGTAGCATATGGGACAGCTTACAGTGGTGGACAGGTTCATGGGGTTGTACTGGATATAAATCATGTGAAGGTGAGCGTAAATGAAGTTAGTGATCCAAGTGCACATGTACCAATCCCCACCAGTGAGGTTCAGCTTGTAGGTGATGCAATTCAACACTTTATTGCTTGGCCAAAGAAGCTGGTAGAGTTATGTACTAAAGTTGATGTGGTATGTATACTGAAAATATTTCTATTTTAAAATAGTAAGTAATTTACTTTTTAAAATAATAATTCTTACTTGTATTATAATTCACAGTCAAAAGAAAAGACCAAATTGACTTTTCATTCGGGTGTGCAATCCGTTCATCAACAATTCACTATACCTGATGATGATTCTTTGACTGATGGATGCAAAAAGGCCTTTTCAATAGCTCGCCGTTTTGAACACCCTCTTGTGGTCCATGTGGCTCGTGGTATTATGGGCAACATTGACTATGACTTGCACCTTCTAAGTGATGAGATAATGCGTTTCTTAAATATGGAGACCATCGATGTTTCTCTAGTTCAGTTCTTTATGAGGTAATAAGTTCTTTAGTATTATTTATTCATAATAGTTTTATATTTATATAGTTGGTAATCTATATATAATTGGTTGTGTTTGTGAATAGGGGTATTTACATTAGTTTTGAGTTGGCATCAAAAGACACGTATGGCTTCCTAGATCCATATTGGATTCAACCACAAATGAATAATATGGAAGACAGGAAATCATATATAAATGCCACCATGCAGTCGGGGAAGAAATTGGTATACTTAGCCCCATATGTTCGCAAGTAAGTATTAATTACGTTTTAAATAAAAGTACTTATATATAATATATTTTTATTATATATTATATTCACTTAAAACTAATAAATTATTTATTTGTAGTGAGCATTGGATGTTGATGGCGATTTGTCCTCGACTAAATGAAATTTTTTGGTTTGATTCACTTGGTCATGGGCCGCGTGAAGACATTAAACATATAATGGAAACGTATGTAAATTTATATAATTAATTAGTAGTTATCATTAAACTAGTGATGCCAAGTATTTATATATATTCTATGTCTTATATTAATAGGTGTATGACTGCAACAAACATGATGAGTGGAAAGAAACAAAATCGTTCACTAAAATGGACTATATGTTCGGTAAGTACTTCATTCACTTTGTAAAACATGCAAACTTATTGTTTTTTTTTTATTAATTTATTTTATTTTTATTGTAATTCAATGTAGTGTGCTATACAAAAGGGAACCACCGAATGTGGTTATTATGTGATGAAGTTCATGTTGGAAATTGTTTCCAACAATCTAAGCAAAGGAATGGATAAGGCAAGTAATTTCTTAATATATCTTTTGGCTTCAAATGTTTAAAAATACTTGCTTATTTATTAATTTTATTTCTTTTGAACTTTGTAGGCTTTGGAAAGACAAGGAAGATTGCCCTACAACAAAAAAGAGATTGATGAAGTTAGAGACAAATGGTCTAAGCTTCTTATTGATGAATAGGTTAATAAAACGCTTCTTAGTTGATACTTTACGTTTAAAATTAGTTTATGTTTATTGGCTTAATGTTTAGTAGTTTTGTTGAATTGTGGTACTTATATTAGTTTTATGTTTAGTAGCTTGAATTAGCTTAATGAATTGTGTTCTTTATATTAGTTTCATGTTTAATAGTTTGATACTTTACGTTTAAAATTAGTTTATGTTTATTGGCTTAATGTTTAGTAGTTTTGTTGAATTGTGGTACTTATATTAGTTTTATGTTTAGTAGCTTGAATTAGCTTAATGAATTGTGTTTTTTTATATTAGTTTCATGTTTAATAGTTTGAATTACTTTAATAAATTAGTTGATGTTGAATGTTGAATGTTAAATTGCTAGCTGCGCAGGATTTGAAAATTGATACAGGTTGGGTAGAAAACATAAAACGCATATAAATAAAAAAAAATAATAATAACATACGGCGTCAGTTTTTATCTAAAAACCGACGCCGTAGGTTAATTATTATTTTTTTAAAAAATAATAAATAAATAAATAAATAAATAAATATATATATATATATATATATATATATATATATATATATATATATATATATATATATACGGCGTCGGCTTTTACCTAAAAATCGACGCCGTAGGGTAATTATTTTTTTTTTTTTTAAATAATAAATATATACGGCTTCGGCGTTTACCTAAAAGTCAACGTCGTATGTAAATTATTTAATATATATATATACGGCTTCGGCTTTTTGGTAAAAGCCGAAGCCGTATATTACATACGACGTCGGTTGTTCAACCGACGTCGTATCATTTACTTACGATGTCTCTTAAGACGACGTCGAAAGATAACCGACGTTAAATGGGGTATTTTAACCGACGTTAAAATCGTTTTCTGTAGTAGTGATTTACTTTACTAGTTGTTCATTAAAACACGATGTCTTTGAACCATTATGTTATTTGTGTAAACAATGATATGATATATCTTACACAAGAACCTCCAAACCTTTGTTTAGTTCTCATTGGTGTGCCTGTTTTGGCCATTGAACAGGTTTGTCTGGTTCTGCGAGAGTTTCTACCATACAATTCTCCTTTGAAGTGACCATCATTCTCTCTCACATAGGTGATTCTTTTTCCGATATCTTGCATAGTCCATTTATGTCAATCAACATTTATAATTATTATGCAGAGTTAATTCCACCAGAGGTCCATTGTCTTTGGTGACAATTCCAAATTTAGTCGTAGACTATCATTTTTGCCATTTAGCATATCAGACTATTATTTTTGGACACTTTTAATCTTTCTCATGGACTTTTCCTATTTTTAGTAAGGGCATTTTTGTCTCTTCATATTTTTCTTTTGTTATTTTTTTTATTTCAACCAGTTTAATTAGTTTAGGACTTTACTAAAAACCGATTGAAAAATATGATTACTAAAAATCAAAGGTTACTGACCTAAAGTCCTATTTAGTAGTAAGGCAAGCCAAGTAGTAAAAGAAGTAACCTATAAGACTATCATTCCAAGAGCTTCCTAAGGCATTCTCATAACAACTCAAGTAGTATACTAGATATTTCACTGCTAATTTTGGTGTTGGCACATTAATCAAGGTGGGTTGTTGCATAATAAGCAAGTTGTATAAAAAGGAGCAAAAAATCATACTTTAACATGTCGTTTGGTTGAAAGGATAGAATTAGGTGGGAAAGGAATTGTAATTCTATGGAGGAAGAATAATGTGGGAATAAAGTGGTAATTTAAATTCCAGTGTTTGGTTTGCAAGAATAGAATTACTGGAAATTTCAATTCTAATGTTTGGTATACATGGGAATTGAAAAGAAATTAGTATAAAGTCTGAAATGCCCATACTTTATTATTATTATTATTATTATTATTATTATTATTATTATTATTATTATTATTATAAATGCTAAATAACCAAATTCAAATTTTTCTTTTCAAAATTTATGTAAAATGTTGTATAAATGAACCCTAGAATTGCATAATGAAACCAATAAAATATAAAAGGGAGTTTCGAGAAAACATATTTGATTGAGGTGACTTACTAATTGACGTTCTGTGTTTAGAGTAGAAGAAGAAGACACGCTATAATCAAAAGAGAAAGGTCAAACATCAATTTTAGGTTAAAAATAGAGAGGGGTAATTTTGTCTCAAAGTTACTTTTTATTTTTCCTAAAATCCATGGAATTGAAATACCAAGGGGGGCATGAGATTCTAATTCCATGAAAATGAGAGAATTTCAATTTTGCGGAATTGCAATTCCCTCCAACCAAACGAAGGAATTTGCTTGCCTTCGAAATTATGTGGGAATGGAATTGTAATTCCCTTGGTATTTTGTTTTCCATGAAATCAAGTAGGCCAATTATGTCCTCACCAATTTTTGTTAATTATTATTATTATTATTATTATTATTATTATTATTATTATTATTATTATTATTATTATTATTATTATTATTATTATTATTATTATATAGGAGTAATTGTCTTTATACTCATTATTCCTTAAAATTCTAAACTTAACCAAAACAATAAAAATAATATTCCCAGTAATTTATCTTCCACCAACCAAACAATGTAATTAATCTTGTCGGTAATTTCTTTTTCATTAAATTTCCATTATATTTCCCCTCAAATATTTTCCGCGCACCAAACAGCCTAAATTCAGAGGCTAGCTTTGGAGCTATAGCTAAACACCAAACTATCATTGCTTTTTATTCATGGAGCAGTATATATATATATATATATATATATATATATATATATATATATATAGTCGCTAACGTGTCAAAAGTGAAAAGGGAATCATTAGATTTCTTTAAAGAATTAATTTCACAATCTGATTAGCTAGGGTTATAAGTACACTCTAATTTTGAATTAATAAAATCATTAAATACAATCATTAATTAAAGCAATGCGACTAACCCAAACCCAACACCCCCTCCCCACTCTAGAGGAAGATAGATTCATTTGGTAGGAAACAAATTTTGGGGAAACACAAATGGGGTTAATTAAGTCCCCAAGAAAGGAAACAGATGGGGAATTGATGCACGATAGCTAGGTATAGTATTAATAAATCAATTATGGAAATGTTGATGGTGGAGCTGTCATATTCACAAGGGCAACATGGGAGGGAAGCCATAGCCAAACTCCAAACTAGTTTTACTTTCTATGTCAGCAAGTCCATATCTTGTAACATTGCAAAAATAGGCTGAGGACTACTTTCACAAGAATGATTCTTGGGGCTTGTTAGGATCATACCACTGCCCTAAAAGTTATAGTGGCTGGCCAACAATCCTAACTTTGTTACCACTTTTTAGGATCAAACGTCAAGCTTACCATTACGCCAAAAGATATAGCTCGTAGCGATGCCACAACCTCCTTATATACTCACACCACATTTTCGAAAGGTAGGATGCTAGATTTGACTCTTCACTGGTCTCTACATAACAGTCCTTGTCATAACCTAATTGCGGGACTAGGCCCTTTTACAGGCCTCCACCAATTATAATAACTGTTTTTATTAACATTCTAATATTATGTGTCTTCTAACATGACCAAACACTCCCTCCAATCCCCACTCTTTTTTTTTTTTACACTCATAATTTTTTTACAGGATAGTATCTGTTCTATATTTTCTCAATCTTTTTCAACCTAAATAACCAATGTTCCCACCACGGGAATTCAATCTTGTAACCACTATTTGAAATGGTAATAGACATATCATTACACCTATATAGTAGTTGGCTCGATCTCCCGTCCTTGAGAAAGATGTATAGATAGGAGTGGTAGGAAACATAAATGGGGCAAGAGGGGAAACAAATGGGGAATTGATGTATGGTAGCTAGGAAATATATAGGAATTGAATGAATAATGGAAAGGGTTGATGGTGGAGCTGTCATATTCACAAAGGCAGCAAGGGAAGAGGAGCACAAGGCTGTGGTCTCAAAAGAAGAAGCATTACCCATAGGTCCACATTGCTGTACCCACGTGGGATCCAACTGCACTTACTGTTAAACCATTGCTCAACTGGACTCCCTCTGGACATGTAAATACATTTAGGAATTTTTTTTTTTCTTTTACAATATTATTACAATCTTTTATTTTCAATCTGAGACTACAAATCAATCTTTTAGTTCAATGGTTCATCAAACAATGTTTGAACCTCGATGATAGTGATGATCTTTTTAAATGTTATGTCGAGATGGCGTGAGATTCAACCTTAGAAGAAAAGTAAGATAGAATTTCGCAATGTATGGCGTTGACAAGTCAACTTCGATTGTCATTTTTGAATTTATAAATGTTTCCAACAATTTTGGTAGAGGTGAAAATTTCAACTCTTTCTTAACACAAAATTTTCATTTTTCAATACGACTTTGACTCCATTAAAATATTGCGAAATTGGAGACCGTCTGATTTGGGGGTTCAAATGTTCAATCAACCGCAACCATAAGCTTTGTTTCATTAAGTACATCTTAATGTACTTTCGAAGTTTCCGATTGGATGGCAAGGAGGGCAACAATAATGCAACACTAGCCAAGATGGTATATTATTAATTTAGTAATTACAAAATTACAAATTTGACTTTAAACTGGAGTAATATATTAACTTTTTTTTGGTTTGAGTCTGTCTCCGTCAACTATGAGCAATTTAAATTGGTTTACTTTATTGTGCTGCTTACCGGCTAGGGTCACAAAGTGGCACATCTTCATATAGTGACGGTAAATTTTTCTCGTTAAATTACTCAAAAAATAAAAAACAGTTCCTCATTAAATGACATCAATGGCTACTCACCAACAGAGTTAATGGAGGATCATGGATGATCCCTAGTGAGTTTAACTCCTTGTAATCCTTCAATTCACTCATTTGACAAGAAAGTGACACATAGTTGCTTGTCATTTTTTTGTGACTCATCCAATTTTTTTTCTTTTGTTTCATTTATTTTTGTTTTGAAGTGGAAAGAGTAAAGACGAGAACGTTTGGAGATGCTTAAGAGTTATTGACACCTACAAGTGAAGATTTGAAAAGTGAAATTCTAGTAGATAAAAAATATCTTGGTTACACTTGTGTGAGGATCCGTGAGGCGAGTTAGGTCGTGTCGGATTAATATTGAAATGTAATACTTATACTAGAAAATGTAATACTAATAAGGAAAACATACTAATAAGGAATACAGTATTTAATTTGTTACTTATAAGAAAAAAAAATGTAATACTTTTGATGAAAAATGTAACTTTTACATTTTTATGTAAAATTATTACATTTTTCATCAAAAGTATTATATTTTTCCTTTTAAATAATGTTGGCAAGTGTTTGTTACTTATAAGTAAAAATGTAATACTTTTGTAGAAAAATGTAATACTTTTAGGAGCCCCGGACTCTGTATTTTTCAGTGTTTGGGTACTCAAGGAAAATGAAGCCAAAGGAAAATATTCATTCTGGTCAACGGAAAAAATGTCCAATTTGGAAGAATTCCAGATCTCTATTTTCCATCTCTCTTTCCTCTCTTCTTTTTTAAGTTAGTTTTCACATTATTATTATTATTACTACCACCGCAACCACCAAACCACCACAACATCACCGTACCACAACCAACACCAACACCAAGGCCAACACCACTACCACACCACCACCACCACACCACCAACACCATTATCATCACCATCCCCACCACAACTACCACCACACTACCACCATAACCACATATTATTAGCATTATTATTAGTATTATTATTCTTGTTACGTTGTTGTTGTTGTTGTTATTGTTGCTGTTGTTGTTATTATTATTATAACAAATAATATTGTAATTTTGAGAAAAATGAACCAAACAGAAAAAATGTAATTTCTTAACTTTCAGCCAAACAGAAAAAGATAGTTTTCTAACATTCAAACAAACACCAGAAAATTAAAATGAATCATTTTCTGGAAATCATTTTCCGGAATATATTTTCCATGTTTCCAAACGGACCCTTAAATCAAAATGTAAAAATATTACATTTTTTCTTCAAAAGAATTACACTTTTCCATATAATTAATAAACCATTTATTCTTAATTAGTATTACATTTTCTAGTATAAGTATTACATTTCATATTGACCGACTCGTCTCGCCAACTAGGTTTCATGAAACGGTTCAACACAAGTTTTTGCCAAAATATCTAATTAAGTGGATGTTTGGTTTAAACAATGTCGTATTACATTAGATAAAGATATTAAGATAATACTCCGGAGTGGTTATCCTTTATTAGGACTTTGTATTCTAGTCACACTAAAATTCCTGCTCTCTCTATTTTGGAGAAGAAGAATAAATATAATGCATGTCTCTATTTGGTAGAGTTTTTTTTAAAAGCTTATAACTTTTTTTTTAAAGCAAAATTAAAGCTTATAACTTTATTTTTTTAAATACTCATAATTCTTTACAAGGTAATATCTGTTCTATATATATACTTTCTCATGTGACCAACCATTTAGGATGATAATAGAAGTGTCATCACACTACATAGTAGTTAGCCGCTTATAACTTATTTACAACATGTTTGGTTCACGGTATATGCCTGGAATGGAATAACATTCCCAAGAACAGACCTATTCCGTTGTTTGGTAATGCTTTTAGTTCTCAATAATATTGTTCCCGGGTATGAGCTATTCCCCTTGCAAGGGGAATAGAGATTCCACCCCCTGGTATTAAGCTATTCTTGAGTTCTCAGGAATAGGCTAAAGTTGCTATTTCCTATTTTACCCCACAATTAAATCTAAAATTTGATTATACTTATTTTTCCCTATCACAGCACTTCTTTATCACCAGTACAACAATTGCATCTCTTCCAGGTTCAAACTCTTCGGCCTTCACAAGATATTTATCAAATTCTATGGTGGATGTATATGGTGCTTAACTTTTTATATAATTTTTTTTTCTATTTATTAGATTTTGTTATATATATATATATGTATGTATGTATGTATGTATGTATGTATGTATGTATGTATGTATTTATTTATTTATTTATTTATATGAGACTAGATTTTAACAAATAGTCTATAAGACCTGGATATAAACTCTATGTAATTAGATTATTATTATTATTATTATTATTATTATTATTATTATTATTATTATTATTATAAGGGTATTTATGTCTTTTAAAACATATTTCATTTCTATTCCATAAATCAACCAAACACTGTAATATAATTCTTAAAGTTTATTCTTTCCACGAACCAAACAATAGAATACAATTCATATTCTATTCCTTGCATATTTCATTCCTTATGGAATAGCATTTCTATTATCTCAAAATTCAATCTGTGAACCAAATGTTAAAGTTACAGATAAGTTAAAAATTTTGTTTGATAAATAAGATAGAAATGAGATTAAAATAGTAATAACTTATTTTGAAACATCATTTTAAATTTTCAATATTATTTCAAACATAAACTCATAACTTTTATATATATATATATATATATATATATATTTATATATATATATATATATATATATATATATTTATCTTCGTTGTTTCAATTTTAATCATAATCAAATCATTTAACCACTCTCTACTTAGCTTTTAATTTTGACCCTTTTAACTTTCAACTGATTTTTCAAATATGTTCGCCAAACATAATCCTAATATTCCAATATCATACGGAGTATTATTTTAGTTACGTTAGTTTCTGCTTAACCAAATGTCGGGCTATGGAATATGGATTGCTCAATTCACACTTTATCTTATTTAAACTAATACTAATATATATATTCTATAAATAAATTAAACTATATAAATTATTTAAAATTTCTTTTAACCATGCATAAACGTAACAATGACACCAGCACTCATATTACAATAAAGTAAGAATCAGAGTTGAAACTTTTATATTATAGAGACTTAGAGATAAGTTTGGTTGTCAAATCAAATAAACAGGATTGTTATAAGATTTTCTTTATAGTGTACGTCAATTTCCTTCGAGCAGCACTTTTCAATCAATATATATCTTGGTGCTATAATGTCAAAAACGAAATAGAAGAACAAACAGCCCCCCCCCCCCCCCCCCCCATTTTTTTTTTCCTCCATATTGTATCCATATTTGCATTCTATAATTGAATCATGCTACATATTCATACAATTATTACATCTTATTAGCCACTCCATGGCAAGTCATCTTCTTTTTTATTAAACACATTGATTCATTATTAACTCACGGTGCAATCAACTGATTTACTAGTAATTCATGAAATTAAATGATTTTTTTTTTTTTTTTAATTCGATAGTGACTAATAGGAAATTGTAATTCTTGAACCAACTCTTTTTGGTAAGTGACAATTTTTAGGTATCTCAATAGCCAGAAGACTAATCCTCCCCTCCCTTCTGGTCAAATGATATGACCCATTTACGTGGGTGGAAATCGAACCTCTAACCTCATGCTTAAGAAACGAGGTGCTGAACCATCACGCTAACCATGTTGGTTAAGGATTTACCTAATTCTTGATATACCAAATCTAATCGTCCAATAGGATTCCCAGCCTTGGACTATCTCCATAGGGTCTCTATACACATAATCTCCCAAACTATGTTGAAGAGCGAGTTTTGCATAGAGATTTGCCACCACATTTTGTTCTCTATCAATATGTCTAACTTCGACTTCCTAGAATTTTTCCAACTCATTGTGATAAGTCGTTTAACCTGTTCAGATTAACAGGAACAAGAAGCAATAAGAATGATAGAAGTAAACAATACAAGATTTATGTGGTTTGACAAAATGCTTACGTCCACAGGAGTTAAGCTATTATTTAGTTAATTGTGATGATGATAAAATATTTGAGGATACAACAAACGTATTTATAAGTATCTCTAAACATATACATGCATTAAAATACTCATATATTGTACTTGCCCCTACACCCCGTTCCGTACATATGACACAAGCACAATAAATTGTTACCTTGGCGAATATGCCCCTATGAAGAAAAGACGAATCTCACTATGAGACCCCCACCCCAACTCTATCTTCCTTATCAGTGAACCGGAACATAGTGCATAGGTACTCTTCGATGCAGCGGGGACGAGACCTGGCTGGATCCGGGCTGGGATAGTTGCGCCCATTCTTAACCAGTTCCGAAAGGGTTCGCTCATGCTGGAGGGAGCATCCCCACTTAGTGATCGGTCCGCTAGTTCACGCAAATCCGGGCGAGTGCACTTGCATACATTAGGCTTCCAACCAAAAAGGCATCAAGCAGTTAATCAGGGGTCTTAATAAGCTCTGATTAAGATAGTTAGCGAGCAAAGACATTTATCTCGAGCAAGATTCTCAAACTCAGTGCGCCAGGCAATTTGTATAACCATGACTCGGGGTAACCATGCTTATCTAGCATCTAGAAACACTCAACAAGTTCAAACAATAGTAGTAATTGTCTTTGTCAACATGTCCGCTACATTATCGATCACTACTATGAATCTTCTACAACAATATCTCTCAAGAAGCAACTAATTAACTTTCTAACCACTACAAGGATTAAGACATTTAGTGACAAACAAATCATTTGTCACACTTCATAATTTAGTCACAAATAATACCATTTTTGTAACCCAAAATAGTTCAACACTATTGTTTGTGATAATTGTGACAACTTTTTTTTTTTTTTTTTTTTTTTTTTTTTTTGTCACGGATAGTATGATGCGTAATTGTGACAAATAAGTATTTGTTACAATTAAGTTGTCACTACTACTAGAATGATAGTGTCGTAACCTAAGTTGTCACTATTTGCATTGTTGTCACCAAATGTATGTGTATTTTGACAACATTATAATTATGGCGAGAACGAATATAATTGTGACAAAATATAATGTGGACACAAATTTTGATACTTTTTGTGAAATAGTTCTTGGTCATTTTTTTTCTTTTTTAATATTTGTGATAATTTTTTTGTTAATAAAAATACAATTAATTAGTACCATTAGAAATGAGATACAATTGTAAGAAAAAAAAACTATTGTAACTCATATTTTGATGCTCTATTTGGGAACACGAAAAATATTCCTTAGTGTTATCTCTTATTTCTTTAGTTATTATTTACTAAATTTGGAAAGTAAATGAAAAAAGATATTAACACTCTTCTTGTGACTAGGATAATATCCTTAATTTGCTGCATGATTGGTTTGAAAATATCCACAACCTAACAAGAGATGTCAGTATGCATTGTTTGATTAATTTAATGCGTTCTAGATTGTTCTCAAACTTGTCTCCTTTTCTACTGTATATTGGATTATTCCTGTCAAACTTCATTAATCAAATTTTAAAAAGTCATCATCTTTGACTCTAAGTACAGTCTGCGGCCATGCTGAGTTCTCACATGACCAAACACAATAACAAAATAAAAAACAAGAAAAACGACGTCATTGTAGAAATATAGATCTCAAAAAAAAAAAAAAGTATAATCGTTAAATTTTTAGTTAATTACTTAGTTGATATATTTTTTTGGAAAACATATTGGAAAGTGAAACTAAAATATGTTTGGGAGGTCACATGTTCGAATCACAATGAAGGCATTGACTCTTTAATTTGTGCTTTAGTAGGTTGAGAAAAGTATATATAAACAGATATTACATTGTAACAGAGTTAATAGTACTAAAAAAAACTATAATTGATAGACTTTGATGCTCTATTTGGGAACACGAAAAATATTTTTTTTAAAAATGATTTTTAAAAATAACTTATTTGTTTGAAAAAAAAAATCTTTTATAGTTTTAGTTAAAAGTCAAAAAAAAAAAAATTCTTTTCTGGTTGGTATAAAATTCAATATATATATATATATATATATATATATATATATATATATTATGTTTGGTTTTTTTTTTTTTTTTTTAAATATGAGCATAAATATACTGCAAAGTTGTTTCTTAAAAAATATTTATCATTTTGATAAAAATAATAATAATTATTTACATTAAATCACCATTATAAATTAAAATTCATAATACTTATAATGATTAATAATAATTGTATTAAAAAGATGTAAATAATTTTTTTTTTATTTACTTTTGTCCGTCTTACTATAATAATTTTTATATTCATGAATTGATATAAATATAATAACTATAAACAATAGAAATTGAAAAAAAAAAAAAAAAAAAAGGCCGTGGGCTGAGTAGGGGCCAAATTTTTATCAATCGTTATGCTGTGCAACCGTGTGCACCATGGTTGCAAAAACATGGTGCACACGGTTGCAAAAACGACGTCATTTTGACTAAAAATGCGCGTCCCATTTTTTTTAAAAAAAAAATCAGTTTCGATTCTCGTCAACAGCATTATGTTGTTCATTCATTATGGATTTTTAGTTCATTCTTTTTGGATTTTTAGTTCATTCATTCTGGATATTTAGTTCATTCATTCTGGATATTTAGTTCATTCATTCTGGATATTTAGACGGAAATCGAAACTGATTTTTTTTCATTCATGCTGGATATTTAGTTCATTCATTCTGGACTTTTAGTTTATTCATTCTGGATTTTTAGTTTATTCATTCTGGATATTTAGTTCATGCATTCTGGAGATATAGTTCAAATTATGCACAATATAATGTTGTTGCCGGGAATCGAAACAGAATTATTTTTTTTAAGTAGGACGCACGTTTTTAGTCAAAACGATATCGTTTTTGCATCCGTGTGCACCATGCATGATGCACACGGACGCACAACATAATTTGCCTATTTCTATCATTTGGCTCAATCTAACCTTACTCATATTTAATTAGACATTGATAAATATAATAATTTTTTTTAAGTACTATGATAAAT